GAGGGCTGCAGGGTGGGGTTGTCCCCGCCGACACCGCAGAGCGCGGTCTCCGCGGGCGCTGGGTGACAGCGTGACCGTTTGCCGTTCCTCCTGCCGCGGTAGATGTCCCTGAACCCGCGCCTCAGCCGCAGCCTGCATGCCCACCCTGGGTGGAGCGGTCGTCTTTGTCGAGCCGGGACCTGCTCTCCTTTCTCGTTCAAGCAGAAGAGGAGCTAGCGAGGAAATAAAAACAAGCTCGAGTTAATGTTTGAGAAGTTCGGGTGCAGGAGAGTCTGGTAGGATTCCTGTTTATGCCTATTTTTGATGCATTTCAGACGATCGTTCGAAATAACAACCTGCGTCCATTACCTTTCTTTGCACAAACTGCTTTGGGTGTCCTCCATAGGTAGCGGGATGACCCGCTTAAAATATATCTCTCTGTGTGTATATATAATGTAATATTATATATATTTTTAAAAAATATATTTGCATGTATATAAAATTTGCCGGGAGAAATTTTGGCAAAGTACTGTGAATTTTTACTAATAGATTATTTTGTTCATTTGCTGGATGATCCATGATAACTATTAATTTGTATTAAAACGGGGGGGAAACACCTAAAGAGTTTTGGTTTTTTTAAATCCGATTATATGTAACACAGTTTCCATATAGATCTCATTCATATTTGTAATATGCACCTAATTACCTAGTGATTTCAAGTCTCAAGGTAGACAGGATCAGGCCTGGAACACTCTGATGGAAGCTCTGTGAGGAAAACCTAACATTTGAGGAAGAAGGATGCTGTTTACTGCTGGTTCTGTCATTCAAATGAAATATAAACCTGTTGTTGTGACTAGTTTCGGTCCTTGCATTTCCATGCCTCAAACACTGGATGAAAAGGACAGAATTATGACTGATTTCCAATGCTGTTAATTACTGACTATGCTTAAAGCTTCATCTGCAGTTTAAGTTGGATAAATACATTTTCTTTTTTTAATCATTAACTATTTCTGGTTGTAATCCTGTTGGCAGTGGTAAACGAATTCCATTTTCACACCATAAGTGACCACAGTTTGCTAGCGAACTATTTTCTTTGGGTTTGGCTAGTGTAACCTTAACATTTGGGTTAAGTCTTTCACCATAACTTTCTCTTTGCATTTTCTTATGCCTGAAAAAAATATTTCAGGGACTGAAAATGCTCACACATGCCAACCTGAAGTGTGTTGGTTTTTTTTTAAATGGGCTTCTTTGCAACTGGTTGGAGTTTGGGTGTATGTTTAGGTGTGTGCAAGCAAAATAATACATATATTTGTATTTATGAACATATGCGCACTTCTTCACTTGTGTAATTTTATTTCAAGACATTCTTCCAGCAGATCAGAGCACATCCCTTATAGTCTTTAGAAGAAGAGTGCCACACAACATTTCAAAGTAAAAATGAGGAGTTGAGAGATATTTTTGTTATTTTAAAGCGATAAAGGTTTGTGTGAGAGGACAAGTACTTAGGACACTGGTTTGTTTTAAGGCAAGTTGTGAACTGAGCCATGCCAGGAGAAGATATTTAGGATAAAGTACTTCCTTACTGCACATGTCTTAGAGCCTGGGCGCCTGTAAGAGTGGGAGAGCTTTCCATTCTTTGTTTCTTAAAATTTACTGTGCAACTGTCCTCATGTGCCTACACATTCCCAAATCAATCCTGTTTACTGTATGAGCTATACACAGTAAACTACTTCCGTTTCAGCACAGATTCCTACATGATAAATTATATCCTGGGCATATGTCCTGGAAGGATCTTTTAGCCTCAAAATGGAAATTGTTTGGGCTTGTGAGAGTCCTTTCTCATATTCCGCAGAGGAGCCAGTGGGCTGCCAGAAGGTGATTGATATGCATCAAGAAAAAGAGGTGAATATAAATATACGGTGGTGTTTTGCTGCAACTTCTCAGTATTCTAAGTTCTCTGACATCTCTGAGTGCTTTCAGTTCACCTAATTGAAAATGGGCTTTAATATATTGAAGCAAGAAGGCTAAGCATGTAAGAGCTTGAAAAGAATCTTCAAGAACTCTTTTCTTCTGTGTAGTAAGTGCATTAAACTGCTTTCACCAGGTCTTGAGTTCTTTTATGCATCCTAGATCATAATCCTGGCTTTTCCATGGAAAGACACACTTGTACTTGTGTCATGTGTAGGAAAAAATAGTTAGGAATGTGTATGGGGGAAGGGAAGACTAATACATTGTATTCTTCTCAGAGTAGGACCTACATTTCCATTCTTAAAGGTACAGTATTTGAGCTTATGACTGGGGATCTCAGGTGCTACCACAGTAAAAATAATAGTAATAAATGATAGTGTGGTATGAAAGCAATGCTTAAGGGTTTGCTGTGGCTCTACCCATGAAAGATGAGCTTTTGTCCTAGTACATAGGTTGCTAATATATATGAAGTTGTATTTGGAAATGTTTTAAATATTTACTGATATCAGTTGATCTCTGCCAGTCTGTGTAGCTAAATATTTAGCGCCTGGAATCCAGAAGTCCCGGTATCATCATTTAACTTTTTTAACTTAGTCTCCAAAGTTCTTGTAATTAAAGGGATTTTCTACACACAAACATGTCATGATTTTTGGTCTGAGATTCTCACATCTTTTCAAAGCTAGAAGTAAGATTTACATGCATCAGTGGAAGGCAGAATCAGCCATTTTTGATCACACAGAGTCTCTGATCCTGGTTTTTCAGGGTCATAAGCTATTGGACCTTATGACTTGCTGGTGGGACTGGTTTTCATCCTGTTCCTTGGTGAAACTGAGGCTAAGACAGGTTGAAGCATCAATATTTAGTCCCAAGAATTTCATTTCAGCAGCTGTCCAAAGTGGCTCAATGGTTTGGAATGGTACAATAAGTACATAAGTAAAATAGATTAGTAGATAGAGTTAGTTTCATTACAGGTCTCTTTTATTTTACGTGTTTTGAGAATTGTTTCATGGAGCGAAGTTGCCAGTTTTCAGTATCTCTTTGTAAGGATGTCCATTTCCTGACTTTTTGCTTATTTTTTTAATTTATTTTTTATTTAAGGAACTTCTGAAGCAGATGTTCTCTTCTGTCTATTAGACCTAGACATTATAATGATTGGTATGTGATACTTTCAGTTTTGTTTACATACACTTAGTTTGTTCTGTGGGATTATAGGTGTTTAAGAATTCCTGTCACCAACACATGGTGGATCAGGGAACTGTCTTCCTTACGCTCAACCACCCAGCTCTCTTCCTTCTTCCACCTTTTTCTTTCTTGCAAAATAAACAAGCTGTTCTGCAAGCAGCAGAACTAATAAAGTCTGGTTTCCTATGGATCTTTGCCTTTGTCCCCTAAATCCTGCCTGCTGCAAAAGCTCCAGCTCTCCCATGTCCTCATGATACCACCATTTGGTAAGAGACAGCAGAACTGTGACTAGCCAAGAACCGCGTAGGTGCCGGCTGTCCAGTCAGTGCATGCCCGGTGATTACCCAGTTGAGCAGTGACAGAAAGTACAAACTGAGTGTTTGTTGCCTCTTTTTCAGTAGGGGTACAACTTAGCTACTGCTACTGACTTAACATACTTAACTTAAACTTCACTTTGTTTCAGTTTTGCTATTCTAGGCTTTGTTCTACTGCCTCCTCTATTCTTTGACTCCTCCTCTTTGTTTTGCTGGGTTTTGTCATATTTTATGGGCTACTTCAGAAAGCTCCTGTTCTTATGTCAGAGTTGGGTTCTCATTTTAGTATTAGCTTGTCTGTTAGCTTTCTTTGTAAATATAAGTAGTTACCTTCACTGGAAGAGGTGAGAATAACTAAATATTATGACATTTAGAGGAAAGGAATTACAAGGATGGTACAAATGTGAGTGCTAGTGCAGTGGAGTTAAGGAAAAAATATTGAAAAGAGGAAATCTGATGGTGATATCTATTGCATCTTCAAGTAATGTTATGAGGGAAGTAGTGGAAACAATGGGCAAAATACTAGAAATTTCATTTTGGGAGAGTCCTAGACTGTTAGGAATATGAACCAATTATCTTATTAATATATGTTCCATCTCTGAGTTTTATGATTAAAACCAGAAAAAATGTGAGCTAGGACAGCATTGCTCCCCCTTTTTCTACTTAATTATCCAGAAGTTTCTGCCCGAAATGTAAAAGTAATTGGGGCTACACAGTTGTAGTGGGAGGGAATGGGGAAAGAAGTGTGGAAAGATAAAAGAAAAAACTACATTTTGCAGCACAGTCATGTTAATAATTCAAGGAAACGCTGCTTTATTCATTTTTTTTATGGCTAAGAATTCCCTGGTACCAGCTACCCTTTTCCTATTTACTGTGTAAGTCCTAGGCTTGAGAAGAGAGGCAGTCGTTAACATGGTGTAAGTATATAGCAGTTGCCGTATTGAGTGAGGCCAAAGCTCTTTTTAGCCTGGTCGTTCGCTCCTGAGGTGCCCAGCAGTGCAAGCGTGAGGAAGAGTGCACGCACGCAGAGTCAGCAGTAAAGGGTGAAGGACCTGTACCTTCAGAGCGCTTAGTTTCTGTAATTAATTTATGTCTTCTTGCAACCCTTGCCTCTTCTCAGTATTGTAATACTGGCCAGGATCCTGCTGCCTATTGGATGTCAGTCAAGGAGGGCTGAGCGTGGGGGAGAACGAAGCCGACAGAAGTCTTTAAAAAGAGAACTTCTTACTAGCATTTCTCATACAAGTTTCAAATATTGTAGAGAGAAGGGAGAAATCAGTTATACGCAGTCAGCAAGGGCAGAAGAGGGTCTTTTGTGTACCAAAGGCAACCCAAACCTGCTGAAGGTGGCTTTAGACTTAAACCTGAAGCTATCAAGGGCTGGATTTCAGAACTTGTTCCACAGTTCAGGGCTTTGAAAACTCTCTGGTTGTAACAAAGTGTAATGAATAGGAAAACAGGTTATTAAAAACAAGTTACTAAGTAAATTGAATGCTGAGTCTTTTGTATCAAGACAAATTGTAACAAAGACAAGATTTTCCTCATTATGGTATACTTCTGTAACTGTGTAGCCACTAAAGTGGCACTAGAAAACGGCATATAATTATACTATATCTTACCTGAATGTTTCATTATGTACTCTCGAACTACTCACAAAGTATTCTAGAAAATGAAGTGTGTTAGAATCAGAAGCTATGCCTAGGACTTATTTGCTGAAACACAATTTCCTGATACCGTAACCAGTTCTAATTTGTGTTTGTTTTTTTGCTTTCAACATTGTTTTCATAGGATTTTTGGCTTCTTGGAGAAACAGTAGAAAATGCAAAACGAAATAATAAAGCCTGCTAAATACTTCTCAGAAGTGGAGAAGAGTGTGCTGCTTGCATTAGTTGAAAAATACAAATACGTGCTTGAATGTAAAAAAAGTGATGCAAGAACTATTGCTCTGAAACAACGCACCTGGCAAGCACTAGCTCATGAATATAATTCACAGCCCAGTGTATCACTGCGAGACTTCAAACAGTTAAAGAAATGCTGGGAAAATATCAAGGCACGGACAAAAAAGATAATGGCACATGAAAGGCGGGAGAAGGTAAAAAGAAGTATTAGTCCACTTATAAATAGCCAGCATAATGCCTGAGCAAATGTACTTTTTGCAGAGCCCACCAGAAGAAGATTCTGAATATCAGCCTGATGCTTCTAGTCAAGGTATAAATGTTACTGTGATGATGCAAGTAGTATTGTTTTGTATGTGATTTTGCCAGTGATTCTCTTTCAGCAGTCTAAAGCTCTCCACTTAGCTGTGACTGCTGGTTATAGAAAAGTAATTTCACAGCTATGATATTACAAGACTCCGTGTATTTCCCTAGGCCCCCAGGAGTTAAACTGAGGTTTTACTCAATTTTTTTTTCATCAGTTTTTGACATATCTGCTACTTTGTGGCAAGCATCACAACAGCTATCATGCTGGCATTCCAGAGAACAGTCCCAAGGATATTTTGATCCTTATAAAGTATCATTTTGTTAGGAAAAGGTTGTCTGAGCATTAAAAAAAAAAAAAAAAGCCACCACCAGCAAATTGATACACAATTGTCTGCTGCAAGAGTTCCCTGTAGGTCTTTCTGCCTTTGTTTTCAAGGACTAAAAAGAGTATGTAGAGCCATATTTCACACTGCAGTCCACACTGGAGAATGGCCTTCTTGAAAAAGTGCAGCACTACATTCTTCTTCATTTGGCAAGCATGCACAGAAGGAATAATCCAAAACCAGAAGGGAGGGTGGCCACAGCAGTTTCTTGCAAACTTTATTATGTCAGAATTACACACAGAAGACTGTCCTTGCTCAAAAGACAACAGTAACTACATTGTTAGACAATACTCTTACAATGTCTCTTTCATAATTGTATTTACTGTAAGTAGTAATCAGGATTTGTAAAGGAATGTATTCTGAGACCCTTATTTGCAGTGGTTACTATTTTATTCCATGAGTAGTTTCTCTTATTTCAGTAGAATTGGTAGAACCTTTCAAAGTTAGAATAATGTAATTTTTTCCTAAAAATATACACCGCTGCACTTACAGCATGTACAGTAGCGATAAGGAAGGAATAAGTAGTATTCTTCCTAGTATTTCCTCAGTCTCTTGGTATTAATGTTGATGCAGCTTTTCACCCAACATTCAAATCTTTCATAAAAGTACTGCAAGTCATATACGGATTTGGCTTGAACAGCTGCGTGAAGGTTCAGCTCCAGGCTCAGCCACCTAAATTTAGGTGTCTGCTTATAAATGTCTACATGCACTTCAGCATTCTGAGCTCCCATTATAGCCATGGAGGTCTATCAACAGAGCCCAAAGTGGTTCAGCTCAGACCATTATGCCCTTAGTATTCTGTAACAGAAGTGTATTATGTAGTGGCTCCTGTACTATGGTACAGAAGCACAAGGTTTAGATGTATACACCAGTAACTATATTATCACAAGTTCATGTTTCTTGAGGGAGAAGAAGGGAATGCTATAATACTGTTTCCTCTTATGTTTTGCAGAGTCATTTGTTGTCTCAAATAGAGAACTCTGTGACGAAGAGAAAGAGCTGGTACATTTCCCAGTATGTGAAGGTACCTCCCAACCGGAGCCTTCATGTTCTGATGTCAGAATAGCAGCAGATAAGAACTACAGAAGTAAATCATCTCAGGAAAGTGCTCTGAAAAAGATGCATGAGGAAGAACATCATCAGCAAATGTCAATTTTGCAACTGCAGTTAATCCAAATGAATGAAGTTCATGTGGCAAAAATACAGCAAATAGAAAGAGAGTGTGAGATGGCCGAAGAGGAACACAGGATAAAAATGGAAGTGCTAAATAAAAAGAAAATGTATTGGGAGAGAAAACTGCAGACCATCACAAAAGAATGGCCTGTATCATCCTTTAACAGACCCTTTCCTAATTCACCGTAGAACATACAGGGGCAGAGAATCAGTCTGATTGAGCACATTTATGAGTAACGCGCACTGGAAAGAGGGTTTTTTAATGTGAATGTACAGTGACAGGATAGGTGCCCGGCTGATAGTGAACACACTTTGACTCTTAATGTTTAGGGAAACAGCAGTAGAGTCCACGAAGGGGAAAACTGTACTGTTCATTTGTAGGTAGTTCTGATTTGTTTTAACTTTCAGACATGCACAGTGTTCTAAAATGTGAACGTATTTTCCCCTCTCAGAATACCCTAACATCCTCTTGAAATTTAAGGTACTCCAGGTATTCTTACATTGGCTGTTCTTAAGAAAACTTAACAGCTTTAAACATCAGGTCATAGTGTTTATTTTGATTTCTATCTCTTCCTATCTACAATTTCCTGAATGAAGGCAAGGGTTGGAGTAGCTCTCTGCTATTGAGACAAAAGGTGATTGACAGGTATTGTTTGGATTGTCATGCTGGGGCTTAGGAAAAAAAACTTGTCTGTGGTTAATATAGTTCATAACTTATTCTTCATAGAAGATGTGAAAATGAAGGAAGTAGCAAAAGGACTGCTGTAGTAACTGAGCCCTTTGCTTGTGAAGAGCAGTAATATTTTCCAGCTGACTGGCTGATTGAGAGAATGGTTATGGACTGGCCCTCCAGTTGTTTGAGCCTTGACCCTTAAGAAGTTGGAAAGAAGGTGTCTTCTTCCTCAAAAGCCATTGTGCTTGTCCTCTCTTTTCCAGGCCCATCTTGTATTCAACTAGAATACCAAAATAGGAGTGTCGCGTGCTGCTGCCAGCAGCGTGCTGTTCATCTGGAGTCATTCTGAGGGGAAGAGCTTTTTAACAATTCCTAAAGCTCTTAAAATGTAGCGAGCCAGCCAGTCCATTGGCAAAGTCTCCCTCTGTCTCCCCATGCAATACTTGATGGTGTAGCTGGAGTATTTCAGCGTCTCCCTCACTACAAGAAAAGACTGACTCGCCCTCTTTACCTTCACGTAGGGTGGGAAGCAGTTCAAGGGAATCGTTCCTGTCCTGTAGCACTGTTCTGATTTGTTCTGTCCTGTGAGTTACGGTGGTGTGTTTCTTGCCTTTGCTGTCAGTGAGGGGTGATGGACATGATTTTTAAGAAAGTGTTCACGTGAAGGTCCCCAGAGAGTTTGGGGGCCTGGAATAGTAGCTGGTAGGAAAGCACAAATAAAAATAATCCTTCCCCAGGCAATCATTTAGTGTAGTGGGGCAAGGGTTAAGAAAATGTGAAATACGGAACTCTACAAAGATTCATAAGACCTTCTGATGTTTGAAAAGCTCTTTTACAGGAAGGTATACAACCATCATTTGAAGCAGTGAGAAAAATGAACAAAACCATAAATTTTCAGTGTATCCCATTATTCAATAAAGTATTTTCAGATCATGATTTGTAAGGGCAAGTCCATACAGTGAGCAACATATTCAAATTAGGGTATGTTACAAAACGTACATTCCCAGTTACACTCCCATCTCTTCCCTGGATGTTCTTTCTGGTGGAGCGAGTTTCTTTTGGTTTTGTTTTGGTTTGGTTTGGTTTTTTTTTGGGGGGGGGGTTCTTTTTCTTGAACTGCTTTCTCAGCTGGTGATTCATCTTTGCAAGCACTGCCATTATCAACCACAGTACTCACTGTGGTTAACGCTGTGGTACATGCATTGCTCCCTTCAACGTGCTAACACCAGCAATCGCAATGGGAGTGATTTATTGCAACTTACATTATATGACAGAGAAAAAAAAATGCAGAGCTGCTGTAAGATCTAAAAAATAGGCCACGTATGAAATCTGAAGACAGATCTTTTTGACAGCAAACTCAGTTTTCTTATAAATTGGCTGCATGAAGGAAGCACAGGACTTCCAAAGAATGATATATCGTTATGGACACTTTTATTTCTGCTGAATGGAAACACTATTGGAAGGTAGGACAATGATGTGTGATAACAGTAGAGGCAAAAGAAAGACGTAAACAGGAGTGAGGACCTTTTTGTTCTGAGGTTGCGTTCTGTGGTCTGGAAGATGAGTCAGTTATTTGAGTGGTTGTGACAATTGCTCAGGCACCATCCAGAAAAAAGAATAGGAAAGACATTTCTCTTCACCAATGATGGGATTCCTTCCACACTCCTTCTAAGTGAAAGTAATTTGAAACTATGAAATTGAAACCATGTATGTTAAGTTGTCAAAAGGTGATGGATGGAGACGATGTCAGCACTGTGAAGAGAGCAAGAATGGAGAGACAATCCAGGTCTAGATAGCCCCATGAGAAGGTATGAAATAGTCCAGGGAGAATCTCATGATATTTGAGATAAAGGTAGTTTTGACTCCTGAAAGTTATACTACTGCTCATGAAAGATTTTTTTATTTTTATATTAAAAAATAATTTAAAATATGCATGTTTTCAGACTGTACTAAGTGGGCAATGCCTTGCATTTTGGTGTATATACTTATTCTGAAACCAAAAGTTACAGTTCTTAGGCTGAACAATAGATCCTTTTAATTCAGCTTCTATTTAAAAGAAAGAAAATCACAGGAGGAAAATTAGAAAAAGCCAAGATGAAGATATGAAAGAAAGAATGATCAGTACATGCGTAGTGGAAGAATGGGAATGTCACACCTAACACAAAAGGTACAAGAGGCCTTTGTGGCACAGGTAATAGATGGCTTACTGATGACACAGGCTTTTGCTTTCCCATCTGTGGCTGACTGATGGTTGCTGAAAGGCTGGGTGATAGATAAAGAGAAAAATGTAAAAGACCAACAAGATGAAGTAATGTGTCTCCTTGCCCAGCTTTGGCTTCTCCATCTAAAGGCTTTGTAAAGCAATTGGTGTGGTGGAGTCTAAACAACATGAGAAATGTGGCTTTTACAAATTTTTTTTTTTTTTTGCATTTGCTTCCCCTGATATTAGGGTTTATCTTTTCTTTTGTTCAACTTTTCTTATGTTATGTTATAATATAGCCATCTCAGACAATATGTCCATTTGTTCCTCTCCCTTTTTTCTAGCTTACATCATTCAGATACTTTCACATAGTTGTGTTTTCCCGTTAACCATTTGGCCAAGCTACACAGGCATTTTCCCAAGGTTTCTCCATAGATAAAATACAGCAGTATTTTAAGAAGAATATACCTATTATTCTTCTCTGGATTTGTTATACAAGTTATTGGCAAGAATGAAATTAAAATGGGCAAAATGATCCCTGCTTAACTCCGTAAGGAAAAATATATGCCAGACAAGTTGTGGCCATTGTTCTCAGCCTCTTTGTTCTTATGAAGAGAAACCATGCCCTTCTAGGCAAGGTATGGTGAAGTCCTTTATGGTCCCAAAAATGACACTAGCCTGGCTCCTAGTGCTGTCTCTCCTCGGAGATCATCTAACTTATTATCTGGTATAATGTTTTTTATTTGTTGATTTTTTCTTCTGTATTGCTTTCTTATGCCTGTGTTCCCCCTTATTTTTTAACCAGTAGTATGAGCAGGGGGTTTCATCCAGAGCTGTGTGTTTTGCTCTTTCCTTTCTCTTGCCCCGATTGCCTATTATCACAACATTTGAGCATGAAATGGGTGCTCCTCACAGTTGTCATCTTCCCCTTCCGCAGAAAGCATGTTCAGTAAGCCTTTTCCACACAGCTGCCCATGCATTTTGGATTCTGCGCACAGGCTAGGAAACAGAGGATTTTGAAGAGACGTTAGTATAGTGAAAGGGCTGTATAGAGAAGAGCACTTTCTCCATTCCAACTCCGTGTAATTCTGGGAGGACAGTCTGTGACTACAAAGTCATTCATCAGGACCAGAGCTAATGGAGGATGCTGAAGCTGCGTAAGTGGTACTGATTCTTCATAAATACTTGGGGTTCTGCAGAGGTTAGGTTTGGGGTTTCCTGATAACAAAGTTCCTTCTTTCTAGGTAGTGGAAGAGTCTCAGTGGAAGATTTTCACAGATACTTCCTCAAATCGAGGCTCTTACCTTGACAAAGAAATGACCCATCCTGCAATCTATTACACTACTCCCTTCAACACCCAGGGTGCTCTATCACAGGAGCAAAGGATCTTGCTGCTTGCCACAAATCCTCTCCGTGATGCTTCTTCCTACGCTGCAGAGATGTGTTTAGCCAGGGCGGAAAGATACAGCCCTCCTGGCCAGCCATTGCTCAGAGCGGCGGTCCTTACAGAGCAGGTGCAGCTGGTGTGGCGGAGCTCAGCACTCAGACCGCAGGGCTGAAATAGTCCCGTTGCAGCCCTGTGACCAGAGAAAGGAAGAGTGGCTCAGGGCTACCCTTCTCTGAGTTACACCCCATCTAGGGCAGCTGAGGATGTAGTCCTGAGTTTTGTTTGACCGTTTATCTTTGTGTGTTTCCAATACCAGATTTTAGCAGTCTCCCAAGGATTTGTATGATTACAGAGGTGTTTTTCAGTGACCTTTTGCAGAACTTTTTTTTTGCTGGTTGTAGTTACAGTGGCTTTTACAATCTGTCCTCCTCCTTCCTCGCTTGCATTATACTGCTTCCAGTTTCATTCTGAATCTCTGTGGTTATAGACCATGCAACCCCACATCCATGCAGTGCCATATTTTCAGGTATTTTTCTCATTATGACATTGAAATGATAAACCACTAGACATTTATATATTGTTACTTTGGGGGTAGGGGAATTACATGTAAATCTTAAAATAACATTTAAATTGTATTTTTTTCCAGGCAAGTAAAGCCCCTCACAAGTAGTCCTGTGATTTCATATTTTGAGCTAGCCTGTTCAAAACTGTTTTTATGACTGATCCATCTTCATTGTTTTCATAAGATAATTGCCTGTCTTTTCACATTATTTTTCTGTTTCTTCTCAAAGCAGCTGACTGTAAACTCACACACCATCATTTTTCCTTAACTTTGTCTCTAGTTAGATATTCAGAAATGTTTCTGTGCAAAGTAAGTACTAATGTGTACTAAAATTAATATATTTAGGCTAATAAAATAAACCAGGTAAAAAGATGATAGGATAATATGCAGTGACTGTTAATAGAATTTAAAAAATATTACAGAGGACAGCTCTGTACATTTGATAGAAAGAAGACAATTTGTTGCCATCTATAAGAATAGGATAACAATATATTTTTACAGTGAAAGCAAACAGTGATCTCTGTTTCCGGTATCACAGATCAACTGCTGTGCTGACGATTTACAAGGGACTTTGTGTCTTAGACATTTTAATTTTTTTAGTTTTGGGGTTTTTTTTTTTGGTCATGGAATTACATAAACCAGCTTGATTCCCTTATATGTAAAGAAGGTGCACATAGAAATGTGGACAGGTTTCTGGGCCTAAAACAAGAGCAATAAAATAGAAAATACTAGCTGTGGCTCTGAACATTTTACTATTCTGGTGGTGAAGGGATTAGGCATCCCACAACATCATCAGTCATGTTGATAACACTGAACAAATTAAAAACTTGCAAAGGCAAAAAAAATGGGCTGGTACGTTTTTCAGAGCGAGTCAGCAGTGAAGACAGCTCTTAGCTCTCCTGAGAGGTAACACTGTCACGTATGTCAAACAGTTCCCCCGCGTGGTCTTCACCTTCCTTGATTACTCTGTCCTTTGAGACTCTGGACACCTCCATCACACCATTCACAGCTCCAAGTGCCTGACAGTAAGAAAAGTAACCACATCAAGTAGGAATCCTGCCAGAGTTATTAGACCTCACTCTTTACTAAACTGAGGTTGGACAATCTTCTGAGACTGCGTTATCCAGACACGCATGCTATGCACTGCGGAAAGGCATGTGAAATTTGTCCAGCACGTAGCCTGCCAAATGGCGTAGGCTATACACCAAGGAAAAGGAAAAGATTGTCCACCGCATGGCTGTGGGTTATAAAACTGTTACATTCATGAGGGCGTATGGATGCATCTCACTGGATGGTCAGCCTCTTTAACAGTAAGAATCAAGAAGCATTTTTGCCAAATCTTCTAATTCATCCTAATCTAGATTTCCCAATCTGTCAAAACAGCCACAGGACAAAAACAAAAGGAAAAAAATAAATAATAAAAAAAAAGCAGTCAAAATAGCTAGAAACAATCTGTTGCCTTCCTGATGAAGAGCTGGCTAGATAAAAAGCTACACTACATATATGTATGTAGAGAAATAACTCTTTAATGTAACAGAAATAAAGCAAGATAGATTTTTAGATCATCCTTATTTAATTTATGTGGGTTTTTTTAATGTTGATTGAGATTGTTTGTTTTCCTTTTGTTATTGAGTCCAGCTGCAGAATAGTTGTGTGCTTCAGTTTCTGACCAAATGTTAGAGCACCTCATTAATCAAATTTGTTTGGCAAGAGAGTAGAAGTAGGTTTGCATTCAGCACAACTTGAGATTGATTGTATTCCACACGTCTTCAGACATTTCTTCTCGTATATGAGAGGCTGTTCTTGGACAGCCCTGAATCTGAAACTGGCATTATACACCAATTTAGTAGTAATTTATTATTTATATGGCACTAACGAGGTGACGTATAGGCTGCTCAAGCCCTGTCCATTATTTGGTCATGTATAAATCCCTTCCCATTTCTTAGAATTATGCCCTGAAATTATGTACTAAGCCAGAA